GCTGCTGAGGGGTAGGCCGCTGGGGGCCCCCAGGTCTGCAGGTGAGGCCCTGCGGGGCGGGTGCGGCTGCAGCTGAGGCTCCTTTGGGGTTTGCTGCAGCAGCAGCACTTGCTGCTGCTGCTGCTGCTGCTGCTGCTGCTTCGGGTGTCTCTGCTGCAGCAGCAACTGCTGCTTCTGCTGCTGCTGCTGCTGTGGCTGAGGGCTTGGGAGGCAGCCGGCCCTCGAGGGCAGCAGCAGAGCCTTGCACAGCTCATCGTCGTGTTCAGCAGCAGCAGCAGCAGCAGCTTCTTTTGCTGCTGCTGCTGCTTCTGCTGCGGCCCTCGCTGCAGCAGCTTCAGCCTCCCGATGTTGGTGCAGCGGACTTTGCTGCTGCTGCTGCTGCTGCTGCTGCTGCGGCGAGAAGAGCCGCAAGGGCTGCTTGTCGGGGACGGCCGGAGCAGCAGCAGCAAGCGCTGCCTCCTTCGCGGACGCCCTTGCTGCTGCTGCTGCTGCTGCTGCTGCTGCTGCTGCTGCTGCTGCTGCGTCAGCCCAGGCCTTCAGCGGCACTTCTGGGGCCAAATGGTCTACAGGCGTGGAGTGGGCAGTGGAGAGGCAAGTGATGCTTTTGAAGCGGGGGCTGAGGCTCAGCAGCAGCTGCTGCTGCTGCTGCAGCTGCTGCTGCTGCTGCTGCTGCAGCAGCAGCTGCTGCTGCTGCTGCTGGGGCGGAGACGCCTGCGGCCCCGGCGTTCGGAAGAAGTGGCTGCTGCTGCGCCGGCCCCGCGGCTCAGCTGCTGCAGCAGCTCCTCCGCAGCAAACGCTGCTGCTGCTGCTGCTGCTGCTGCTGCTGCTGAGGAAGCCAGGGGTGGTCAAGACAGCTGCAGCAGCAGCAGCAGCAGCAGCAGCGTGTGCAGCTTCCGCTGAGAATGGGGCACCCGGCAGCAGCAGCAAAGAGGCCTCAGAGGGATCCGAAGCTGCTGCTGCTGCTGCTGCTGCTGCGGGGCCCGGGAGCCTCAACCGCTGCTCCTGCTGCTGCTGCTTCTTAAGCTGCAGCAGCTGCTGTTCTCGCTGCAGCAGCTGCTGCGGCTGCTGCTGCTGCAGCTGCTCATGCTGCTGCTGCATCTCGCCGCAGCTGCGGTCCATCTTCTCGTTGCTGCTGCTGCGGTCCATCTTTTGCTGCTGCTGCTGCAGCAGCAGCAGCAGCTGCTGCTGCTGCTGCTATCAGCAGCCTCCCTCCACGCTGGTGGGACGGAGCCACTGCCTGAGGGCTTAGCGGTCTTGAACCCTAAACCCTAAACCCTAAACCCTAAACCCTAGGGACTAAAAAAACAAAGAGCTTTAAGCGAAAAAATGCCAAAAGAGCTGCAGCAGCAGCAGCAGCTGCTGCTGCTGCTGCTGCAATTCGCCGCGCCCCCCAGCAGCACCATGGTGGGGTTGTTTTCAGTGACTGCTGCTGCTGCTGCTGCTGCTGCAGCAGCAGCAGCAGCAGCAGCGCCAAATATATAATTTTAAATTATGAATAAAATTAAATTAAAATCAAAAAATAATAAATAAAAGGTTTTGAACCAGCAGGAAAGGACCTGTGCTGCTGTCGGCGGAGGGGCCCCCACCGTAAACCCTAAACCCTAAACCCTAAACCCTAGGCCTCTGAGCGCTAAACTAAAACCCTAGATCCGTAAACCCTAAAAAAGGGTTTAGCAGCTCGCACGGGCAGCCCCGTAGCCAACGCGGCGGTTGTGCTGCCTCGGGTTTGTCAAGCTTCGGCAGTGAGGGTTTGGGGTTTCTCTAGGGTTTAGGGTTTAGGGTTTAGGGTTTAGGGTTTAACGGATGGCTGTCTGCAGCGCAGCCGCAGCCTCTTAAAGCCCTTCTCGCCTTTTGCACAAAAATTAAATAAATTAATTAATCAAATTAAATAAATAAATAAATTAATTAATTAAATAAATTAAATAAATAAATAAATACATTAAATAAATAAATAAATAAAATTAATAAATTAGTTTTTGTTATTCTTTGGCCTGCCCCTCCTTGCAGCCTCTTCAACGCCGTTGCTGAGTAAACCCTAAACCCTCGCAAACCCTAAACCCTAAACCTTAACTGCCCCGAACCCCGAGTAAACCCTAAACCCTAATAAACCCTACACCCTCCCCACTGGCTACAAAAGTGGGTGTAGCCCCACGCTCGAGGGTTTAGGGTTTAGGGTGTCTTTGCAAACCCCAAAAGAAAGCTCACCTACAAAACCCTAAACCCTAAACCCTAAACCCTACGGGCGGCCCGCTGGGCTCTACGATTTAGAGTCTTTCTAAACAACCCTAGCAACCCTAATAAACACCCCTAGAACGCCCTTATAAACCCTTAATCCTAAACCCTAAACCCTAAACCCTAAACCCTAAACCCTAGCCTCTAAACCGCTTGGGTGTCTGCGCACCTCAGCTGTCTGTACACCTGAAATACCTTACGGTTTCTTTCGCATCAAAACCCCAAATATCATTTTGGGGGCCCCCAGGGGCCCCCGGGGGCCCCTGGGGGCCCCCAGGGGCCCCCGGGGGCCCCCAAGTACCCTACTGCAGCAGGCAGCAGCAGCAGGGGGGCCCCCAGTGGTCCACTGGACCACTGGGGAAGCAGCAAAGCTGCGCAAAGGGGCCCCCCGGGGCCCCACAGATACCCGGGGGCCCCCACTAATTGCTGTTACCCGATATAGTAACAAGACCTGTTTCCTGCTGCTGCTGCTGCAGCAGCAGCAGCTGCTGCTGCTGCTGCTGCTGCTGCTGCTGTTGCATTTTTGCCTGCACCTGCACCTGGTGGCTGCGAGAAGTGCCCTATGCGGGCCGTGAGAATTCGCAGCTGCAGCAGCAGCAGCAGCAGCAGCAGCAGCAGCAGCAAGACAAAAAGCCAGCTAGCTAGCAGCTGCTAATTAGCAGCTAGCTAGCTTCGAGCTAGCTGCTGACTGGCAGCAGCTAGCCCGCACCTGTTGAGCTGCTGCCTTGCTGCTGCTTCGCCGCTAGCTAGCTGCTGCTTCGGCACTAGCTAGCTGCTGCTCCTCTGCCGAGGCGCAGCTAGCCAGCTAGCTAGCTAGCCAGCTAGCTAGCTAGCTAGCCACCTAGCTAGCCAGCTAGCTAGCTAGCTAGCTAGCCACCTAGCTAGCCAGCTAGCTAGCTAGCTAGCTAGCTAGCTACCCCCCTGTCCATCCACCGAGCAGCTCCTCCCCTCCGCCGCCGCTTCCCACCCCCGCCGCCGCTGCTGCTGCTGCTGCTGCTGCTGCTGCAGCTCAGGCGTTGTCGTCAGCATCAGCAGCAGCAGCAGCCTTTTGCTGCTGCTGCTGCTGCTGCTGCTGCAGCTGCTTGTAGTTCTTGAACTCGCAGCCATTTCCCCCCGCTTTGAAGACACAAGCAGCAGACCAGAAGAGGTTGGCGAAGCCCAAAGTGACCCCGATGGTCAGCAGCTGCGAAATGGTGGAAAAGATCATAACTTTTTGAAACTTTATTGTTCCTTCTTGCATGCCTTCTCCCCACCGGACCCACTCCGCGATCAAGCACGCCAGCTGCAGCAGCAGCAGCAGCAGCAGCAGCGGCAACGGCAGCAGACGCAGACGCACCAAAAACGGCAGCGTGAGACCCCATATTCGCGCCGCTGCTGCTGCTGCTGCTGCTGCTGCAGCAGCAGCAGCAGCAGCAGCAGCGGCAACGGCAGAGAAGGGTTCGGCTGCTGCTGAAGCAGCAGCAACAGAACAAGCAGCAGCTGCTTGTGCTGCTCATATTGGGAAGCAGCAGCAGCAGCAGCAGCAACAGCAGCAACAGCAGCACTTAGTAGTATTAGCAGCAGCAGCAGCAGCAGCAGCAGCTCGCTAGCTAGCTAGTTGGCGGACTAATTAAATTGTTACTTAATGCTGCAACAGGCAACAGCATATGCTCTATTAGAAACCCTAAACCCTAAACCCTAAACCCTAAACCCTAAATCGGCTCGGTGCACCTGTTCAGAGCAGACCCTAAAAGCGCCAAACCCTAGTAAACCCCAAACCCCAATAAGCCTAGTAAACCCTAAACCCTAAACCCTCATAAACCCTCATAAACCCTTTTGCGCCCTTTTAAACCCTAACAAATCCACCAAACCCTACTGAACTCCCGCAAACCCTGCTAAACCCTAACCAACCCTCCTACACCCTCCTAAACCCTAGCAAACCCTAGCAAACCCTAGTAAACCCTAGTAAACCCTAGTAAACCCTAGTAAACCCTAGTAAACCCTAGTAAACCCTAGTAAACCCTAGCTAACCCTAGCTAACCCTAGCAAACCCTAGGCCTCCCGAGAAAATCCTATTCCCTCAAACCCTCACTAGCCTCCCCCGCTAAACCCTACGAGCCCCGCAAACCCTAAACCCTCTCGAAGCCAAACCCTCGAGGGTTTGGACTTGCGAGGGTTTACAAACCCTCGCGGGTTTGGGCCTAGTAGGGTTTGCGAGCCCAAACCCTCCGGGCTCTGGGCCTCGCAGCCTTCACAGCTTAGGGCTTAGGGTTTACGGCTTAGGGTTTAGGGTTTAGGGTTTAGGGTTTAGGGTTTAGGGTTTAGGGTTTGTTTGACCTTGAAAATGCCGTTGAGGAGGGTGAGGAGGAAGGCGGCGAAGGTGAAGACGTAGGCGAAGAGGCCGAGCTTCAAAAACCCTAAAAGAGCGCATAAGGAAACGTAAACCCCAATGGAAGCGTTTACAACCCCACCCACGAATTGGGGTTTGGCGAAGGGTTCAGTTTGCTGCGCCTGGAAGATATCAAGGCCCCCTATAAGGCCGTAGTAAGCAGCAACAAGCAGCAGCGCCAAAGACAAGTTGAAGCAGCAGCAGCTCTTCTCGCCCGCGGGGTTCAGGCACAGCTGGCACATCTTGGGGTTTAGGGTTTAGGGTTTAGGGTTTAGGGTTTGGGTTGGGGTGTGGCGGGGGGCGGCGCTCGAGCGGCTCTCGCACGACCCGAAGGCACACAGGGGGACACAAAAAGAAAAAGGAAATAACTTTTAGGGTTTAGGGTTTTGTGATTATTGTT